CTCCACCCCCACCTCTGGTGGCCTCAGTGGTGTTAATCCACAACCTGGCCATCTGTCCTGGAAAGCTGAGACAAGAGGACAGGGTCACTAGAGATGGAAGGGGGAGACCATCCCCTGGCAAATAGAAGGAGTTGGTCCATAGCCGGCCAAGAGAGGTCAGGTGCCAAGAGACCAGCCTCCCCCAACCACCTGCTGAAGCTCAGCCCCAAAAGGAAAGGGAGAAAGAAGAATCTGACACCCAATACCGAGTTATTCCCAGGCCAGAAGGCCCAAGCCCTGAGACATAGGAGGGACAGGGCCTGCCCATGGTGTAAGGCTAAGGCACTGAGCCTTGGTCATCTTATCTCACCACAGACCTGCGGGGCTGCCACACAACTCTAGGGGTGCCTTTCACACAGTGCAGTGTGACCTGAGCCACAGAGGGGAGATCTTCTGTGATGACTGGGAAGTGAGAAGACATGAGCACAGGTTGCCTAGTTTTCCCGGCATCCTCCAGGCTCCCCCTTCTCCCTCTCCATATATCTGCATCCACTGCAGGGGTGGAAGAGAATGCAAGGAGGAAGGAGGAGAGGCATCAGAGACCTGGGCTTTGTCACCCAAAGGGGATCTAAGCCGACAAATTCCTAGACGCCTTTTAAGGCCAGTTTGCATTACATCCACAGGACAATTATGTACTGTGTTCATGCTATGCCCTCCCCAAACCCCTAAGGGATCAGATTTTCCCCCACTACAGGATGGAAACAGAGGAAAAGATTCCCTGAGGGCTCTTCTGTCTTGTGTTCAAGTTGGTGAAAGAGCAGGAGGCTACCAGTCATCCTGAGGTGGTGCCAGATACCCTCTGGCCAGTGGAGGATGAAGAGTCAGAGGGAAAGTGGCCCACTCAGTACCTCTCCTCTCCCACAGCCACTGGCACTTCTGCCCCAAGATCAGCCACTTAGTCTCCCAAAACCCCCCCTCCCCAGACGTGCTGGGTGCCAGGCTGGCATTTCTCCTAGAATGTTTTCTGCTGACCCATCTCTCCCTGTGCAGGGGCAGGAAGGGCAGTGAGGCCTGAGGCCCAGACCCCTGGGGTCCACCTCCTTCCTGTTTTCCCTGCATCCTGCTCTCCTCCACTGACAAGCTGCAGAGGATTGAGGAAGTACAGGGTCTGGGACTCAGGGCAGGAAGCTTGGGGCTGGAGTCCCAGCATCCGGACTGCAACAATGGAAGCTTCAAGCACCAGGAAAAGACAGACACACACAGGGGCACAGAGAGAGCAAAACAGAGTGAGAGAGGGAACAAGAAATAGAGGCAGAGACACAAAAAGACGGAGACAGAGATTCCAAAAGTGACCAGAGCGAGACAGAAATAAACAGTGACAGAGATGCAGAGAAAGAGCAACAGAAAGAGAGCGAGAGGAAAGTGAAAGAGGCAGGGTGGCAGAAACAGAGAAACGGAATAAGGGAGAGGAAAAAAAACTGATCGTGGGCAGAAGACACTGAGGAAAAGAAGTCAAGAACACTGTTAGTGAAAGGAGAGGTTGAGAGACAAAGCAAGAAAGAACAAAAGAACAAGAGAAAGAAGGAAAAAGCTGAAAACGAGTCTAAGGGGAAACACAAATGGGAAAAGAGAACGGATAAGAGCAAGGATAGGGCAAAGGACTTCTAAGAATCTTTCTCTGTGTCTGTCCCCCTCATTTTCTCTATTCCTTATCCCACAATCATGAGGTTTCTGCAGCTCTGGGCTGGGAGCCAAGACTTCTGCCAATTCAAATGGCACCTGCCAGGAGAAAGGAGCGGGGCGCCTGTATACCAGGCCAGCCAGAGGTGCCCAGGCCTGGCAGAGAGACCCCTGTCTTCCTACTTCCTCTCAAACAGCAAGGTGAGCTAGCTCAGGGATTTAGGAAGGGAGCGCTGACACCTCTCACCACCAGTCTCCCCAATGCGTATGCTCCACTCCGCCACTGGTCGATGGCCTCTCAGATCCCTGGGGTTTCACCTGTGGCCATGGTGAGGGCAGGTCCTGGATGGCGAACAGAAAGCTGCCCCCAAAACACGACCCCCGCCCCCATCCTCCAGTGTTCTAGCCCTAGACAGCCCATTGAACTGGACCAGGTCACTTAATTTGCCACTCTCGTACCAGCAGCCAGAACCCCTTCTCAAATAAGCAGCCCTGGGAGGTCTGAGGTGGAAGGATGGTAAAGAGATCCCCCATGACAGTGGCAACAGGCTAAGGACTCAGTAGCAGTTTCCTTGACTGAATCCCTTCCAGCCCGGCCCTGCCTTCTCCTCAACTCACAGGGGATTTTCAAGGGCTCTTCAGGGCAGCCGCAAAGGGGAAGAAGCCGCTGGTTGGGAAGCGCACTTGAGAGGGCATGGGCAGCCCGGGTTACCTTACCAGAAGGCTGCAGGCTGTCCTGGATGGCCTCGATCTCCGCCAGTTCCATGCACACGCCTTGCCCGTGCATGAGCGTGTGCAGGGGCTTCTCCACCCCCCGGGGCGGGTAGCAGCGCAGGCCCGAGCCGCAACGTGGGGTATACACCCCGCAGGGCATCCCCAAGCCCAGGGCGCAAGTGGCGCAACAGCCGCAGCCCGGCTCCCGCACCAGCTCCTCGCAGCCCACGGGGGGGCGGCAGCGCGCCAGCTTCTCCTCGGAGCAGGGCGGGCAGTGGATGGCTTCGTCGCCCAGGCTCGGCCGGGGCCCGGCGGCCAGCAACAGAGCGGCCACGAGGCAGAGGGGCAGCATGACCGCGCGAGGATGGGGCGCGAGCGCGGGACCGGGAGCGCGAGCGGGCAGCTCTGGCGCGCTCGCGGGCAACAGAGGGCACAGGGCGGCAGCGCCCGCCGCGCCTAGAGGACCCGACCCGGAGGGCGCTGGGAGACTAGCGGCCCAGCTGGCGGACAGGGACGGAACCGGGGAAGTTAGCAAGCGGGCTGGAGGGAAGCGAGCCTGGCCGCCGAGGCGCTGCGCCGCATCCTCGGCACGGCCCAGGCAGGCGGAGGGCGGCGGGGGGGTGGGGGGCTGAGCGGCTGCCCAGGACCGGCTCCCCCGGACTTTATACCGGCCCCTGGCCACACCCCCAGCGCCTTCCCAGAGGTGGGGGAGCCGGGGCGCCGAAGGGGAGAGGGAGAGGCGGCCGGTAGGGGGAGGGGGCTCTGTCCTGAGCTGCCGCCGCCGCTACATCTGAAAGTCCTTTTCTGCCGAAAAAGGAAGCGGCGCCGTTTGGAAGCGGTGGCAGGGGCCCAAAGCGCCTCTGAACCCGAGCCCGGGAGAGGAGAAGGGGAGAGGGGAAGCGAAGGGGCTGCTGCTTGGCCCCTCCCCCGACCTCTCAGGGTTCTTCCACAGGCCCTCCGCGGCGGCCCTTGGTCCCCCCTGAGAACCCGTCTTCCTAGCCCACACTCCCGGCTCCACGGATTCAGTCTCCCTAGTCAGAGCCCTTTCCACTTCACCCCAGTACGCCTAGTCTCAACCGCTGGACACCAAACTGTGAGGTGAGGCAAGGGGTACAGGCGCTCAACGAGGAGCACTGAAAGGCCTGGTGGCCCTAAGACGTTAACAAGCCTGCTGGCAACCTCCCTTTCCCTTGCAATGTGCCCAGGGCTCATGCAGGAGCCTGCCTTCCCCGGGAGGTGCTGAGCCTCATCCTCCTTCTTGGTCGTCTGCTTCTGCTATCCAGACCCACCACTGGCCTGGGCAATTGCCGCGTTCAATGTGCACGATGTGGGTTGAACAACTCCAGGGGGCACCATGCCATGTAGTCATTGTAAATTTGTATATGGCTGCTGTGACAGTTTCCCAGCAGGTGGCAGCCGAGGATTTTGAAGAAGGGGTGCTTTTTCTAATTCTCCCCATGTTGCTATTTGCGATAGTGTTGATCCTATTGGTTCTGGCATTCCCCAGCCCTTGCTCAAATCCTTGCTGGAATTGAGAGAAGCCCTAGAGTAGTAGCTTTGGGAGCAAAACCCCATCTCCTAGGTTCTTTCTCAGGTCCTCCTAATACTCACCCATCCTCCCCTACAAAGGCTACTGCTATATTGAAGCTGGTTTCAGAGTAGGGCGCCTGCACAGGCATAGTTGCAGTCAGTGACCAACTGATTTTCTCTCTCCTCTCTCTAGAAAGCTGCAGGACAGCCAAACTGAAGTGCGCTTGGTTAGTCCCCTTTCTGCCTCTTCTCCCAGGAAAGGAGTCTTTAAGCATCACAGAGGTTGGTCCACCTCCTACTTTCTGCAAGTGCCGACTGCAGACTGGGGCTGCTGGAGTGATTAGAGGAAGCCGGACCTGTAGGACAGATAGAAAAGTTGCAAACTGACGGCACCTACTGGCAGCCACCAAGACTGCAGGAGGACTGGAGGGTAATGGTCAGCCAAGGACAAGAATCTGAGGTCCTCTCAACCCATCTCATAGGAAAAATGGGAACCCTTCTGCCCCCATCTGCCTTGGAGAAGGGAAAACAGAGCCAGGTTCGTCAAGACCCTGGGGGAAGCCCACCCTGTGCTTGACTCAGAAAACTGCTCCCAGCCTTTTCCCCCTCCATCATCCCTGGACCCAGTGCTGCCATTAACCTTTGTGAACTTGGAGCTTGACTGTCCCTAACTGGAAAATGGAGATAGATCATCTCCACTCATCCTGCCTCTTAAAGCTCTTATGAGAATAAGATGGAACCAGGAAGGATAATTCTGACCCCAATGCCAGACTTGTGCCCTAGGCAGCAAACCGAGGAGGGGAAAAGGTGCTGGGACACAGAGGCAGAAGTGTACGAGAGGCTGGACAAGGCCCAGAGATGGACAAAGCCCTGGGATAACACATGAATGCAGGTAAGTGTGGAGAATCTGGAGAAGTTGGCAGGGGAGACAGATGCCCCCACCTCAACCTCAGCCTCCCAATCCATCTTCTTGCGTCCTCCCCACCCCTCATCACTCTCTGGGATAATTCCAAGGAGGCAGGAAAGTGGGCTCAGGAAGGAGGGGGCCTTCCAAGCATTTCCCACCATCCATGAAATACACATTTACTGAACACCTATTATGCACAGGCGTTATGCTACATACCAGGGATATGCAGATGCCAAGATCACTCTCTGACCTCAAAAAACTCACCGCCTAGCGAGGGAGATGGTATATGAATAAGTAAGTCTAAGAAGTGTACAAGTAACCTGAGAAATGTCTATATGGGGCACTAAGGAGACCCAGAGGCGCAAGAAGTCAATTATACATCCAGGGCATGAAAAATCTTCATTAAAGAGGTGACCTTTGTGCCAAGAGTCATTCATGCCAGAGGAAAAAACAGGTGTTAAGCATCAAGCTGACATGGACTCTAGTCCCAGCTTTGTCACTAGACTCACTAAGGAACCTGAACATGAGACTTTGTGGTGAGAGAGACAGAGAGAGAGACAGGGAGGTAACTATGGAAAGTGCCTACCACATAGTAGGCACCAAGTATTTGCTCCCTCCTACTACTCCTCTGCTTGGAACTATAACTTTTCCATATGGCTAGAGATCCCCTGGTGGCAGGATCTGTTTCCCCTGCAAACTCGAGGCTTTCGGAAGACTGGGTTTAGTGTTCCCCCTCAGACTATAAGTATCTGGGAGAGGATATATACAAAGGATACGGGATTTAGAATTAGGACCTGAGCTGAAGTTATAGCACAGCCACTTAAAAGCTATGTTATCTTGGAATGCCATTCAACATCTTGAAGGATCATTTTCAGCCTCTGTTTAAAAAATACATATATATTTGAAATAATTGGGCTTAACCCCACAGAATGGTCAGAAGAAAAAAATTAGATAATGAGGCTAGGCATGGTGGCTCACACCAGAGTAATCCCAGCACTTGGGAGGCCAAGGCAGGTAGATTTCCTGAGCTCACAGGTTCGAAACCAGCCTGAGCCAGAGCAAGACTTTATCTCTTAAAATAGCCAGGCATT